GCTCGACCAATATTGACATCTCATATACAATCTAGCTTATAAGCATGTATACGTAATATAATCTTAGGGAAGTCAGAGCAGAATTGCTGATTTGAGCTGAGCTAATTTGAGCTGTTGACAGCTGCATTATTTACATGTGGCCATGCTTAACGATTCAAAGTGTGCTTTAGCTTAATACACATTATCATGGCTTTGCGAATGGTTATTTGCGAACTCTTATCAAAACTGGGTCGCTCATTGAACAAAGAATTAACCCCAAACTGTCAGTTAGGTGTTGTTAGGTATTACGTTTAATCGCATCGCTTACCATCAACGAGATTAACGACCGGCTGCAACTGCAACTGGATTTATGAAATATTTGTGCCAATTACCCAATGCGGAACTTTGAGTTACATACATATGCATTGTACATACATACATACATCAGCTATTTGAACTATAGTTCGGTTCGACCCAATCTTATGGCTTGATCGCTGACTCAGGCAGCGCGGCAAGCGCTCTATCGAATTAGGCTTCGAGACAACTCTTTGACGATCGGCGATCGACTGGAAAAAACAGTTCATTTCACAATTAACCGCAATTGCGTGAGATTCGATTTAATAAATACTATTTGTCGGCATGTTAGGTTCATTCACAATTAAACAATTGGCAAAAAAAAAAAACAATAAAAATAATTTAAAGCAAACGAGGTGTCGAAGAGCAATTACCTCTTGCGGTCTCTAGTTGCATAATAAGTAATTCATAACTGCCGAGATATTAGATATCTTCAAATGCTTCTCTTTATACAGTCATTCGAATTTCATGGGGGCTTGTAAATTTATATACATGTTGTACGTATATACTAAAATTATAATATTATAAGCTTTCAAATATGATTTAAAATTTTAAATATGATTTAAAATATATGAGAGGACATTAAAAAGTTGATATAAAATGACTTGAAATTTTGTAAGTAATCAGGTAACTAGTTTTATATCATTAATCAGGTAACTAGTTTTATATTATTTCTTAGAGTTTTCAGTAGGAGAACGATAAATCAAACTAAATTAAAATTTGCTTAAGATGTATAAAGTTAAAATAGATTTCTATACATACATATGTACATACATTAAAATTGATATCTCTTCTGATAATTCTGCAAGTTTTCAATGACTACTAATAAATCCAAATTAAGGAAAAACTAGTTTAAGATGTAAAAAAAACATATTATTTTTATACACACAAACATACATACTGATATTCACCTCTTACTCTGCAGCTCTGGTTGGCTCGCTGGCTATTGGCACCACATTCTTTTTATCGCCTGTCGCTGGCTGTCTGACGGACAAGATTGGCCTGCGTCTGACCACCTTCATTGGTGGCATGCTTGCATCTGGCGGACTGTTGCTGTCATCTTTTAGTACGGATAATATTAATTCCCTGTACTTTACGTATGGCATCATGTTTGGGCTGGGCGGTGCCTTGGCCTACACGCCCACGCTGGCCATATTGGGGCACTATTTCAAGCGTTACCTGGGCAAGGTGAGCGGCTTTGTGACGGCGGGATCGAGTGTGTTTACTGTTATACTGCCACCGGGTCTGGACTGGCTGCTGGGCAGCTATGGACTGGAGGCAACGTTGAGGGTGAGTAGCTTCATTGAATCTGCAATTGATTCGCATATTATTCATGCTGATTTCGACTTTCAGATCATGAGTCTGATGGCTGCATTTATTATCGTCTGCTCCTTTGTGTATAAGCCGCTGCATCTGCCCCTGCACGTGCCCAAGAAGATCGGACGCTCTCGCTTGGCTGTGCTTATGCGTTCGGTTATCAATGTGGAGATCTGGAAACGCAAGCGCTATGTCATCTGGGCGCTGTGCGTGCCATTGGCTCTCTTTGGGTACTTTGTGCCCTATGTGCACATGATGAAGTTTGTGGAGGCATCGTTTCCCGGCCGCGATGTCAATTTGCCCGTCATGTGCATTGGCGTCACCTCTGGCATTGGCCGTCTCATCTTTGGCGTCATTGCCGATATGCCCGGCGTGAATCGAATGTACCTGCAGCAGCTGTCCCTGGTCTGCATTGGCTTGGTCACTCTGCTGCTGCCCCTGACCAGCTCCTATGTGCTGCTCGTCACCTTTGCATTGGTTATGGGCCTGTTCGATGGCTGCTTCATCTCCTTGCTGGGTCCGATTGCCTACGAGATCTGTGGACCCTCGGGCGCCACACAAGCCATTGGCTTTCTGCTCGGCCTCTGCTCGCTGCCCCTGACCATTGGGCCGCCCGTCGCCGGCATGATATTCGAGCGAACTGGTTCGTACACGCTGCCATTTATACTAGCCGGACTGCCGCCTCTGCTCGGCTCCTCGATGCTCTTCCTCATGCGCTGCGTTAAGGATGAGGGCGTGGCCAAAGCTACAAATGGAGTCGCAGGCCAAAAAAATGGTGACATCGAGAACTCTTCCAATGGCGACTATCGCCTGAGTGGTCTGTACTTCGTTATATATTCGTATACAGCTTTAATTGATTTCGGTTGTTTTTTCAGCTGTCAAGTCGAGTGCTCCGCTCATGGGCCCCAGCGAAAATGGTGCCTCCAATGGCTATGCTGTGACCAACGGCTCAGCAAGTGGTGCGTATAAAATCAACAAATTGCTATAGGAAACTTCTACAACTATATATATTTCATGCTCAGCTGCCAAATCCATAGGCTCGACTGAACATCCAAATGGTCTCAATGGACATGCCAATGGGCATGTGGATGTGACAGATTCCACAACTGGTTTGTACACTGAATCTCTAAGCCCACCCAGCAACGACTTCGGTCAACGCCTCTCTAGTATTACTGCCTGCTGCTCTGCAGATATATGCATTCATCCCAGTAGCTCGACTAACACCTATTATTCAAAACCCATCTCATCTCACACTGCTTTGCTTAATCGCAGCTCGAGATCTCAAAGCTCATTTGATGATTTCAGCAAGCGTCATTATAAATATTCAATTTATTGAGCTTGTATTTGATATCTTCGAACTGGTTTGGAGAAAATTATTCGCTGTTTACCATCTATAATTAATTAATAATAATTAGTTGGTTGGAAAGCTCTTAAACGTTCTTTGTAGTTGTGATAATGGTATTTTTGTTTCGCTTTTATATTTATAAGACTGGACTTTGTAATCACCGCTAAGCAGGGAAACATTAATATTTCAAGAATGATATCCTTATTGCCAAACTCACACACGCATTCGCATCCCTTCGCCTACTATTTTGTATTTCATTATAGAGATAAGCGCTTTCTAGATCGTAAGCTGCACCGAATTATCTTTTGTAAATAAATAAATGCAACTAAATTTATAAGATTTTAGCATGTATATGAAATGCAGTTGACTGCAGTGCATTTAAGTTTTTTTTGTATATTTGAATGGATAACATGTGCCATTGCATGGAGAAGTTGTAGTTGTTCAGCTATTCGATTTCATTAACTAACTAACCTTGATAATCATGTAAATCTTTCAGAGAAACTCACCGACACGCCGGGATCCTAGACAAAGTCGCTGTCGTCTACTCAAAACTCAAAATTCCACACAAAACTTTACCATTGAAAATTTTCTGCCATTTTAAATCTATGATCATATCGCTAACCAGCCAGCATAAACAGATAGAGAAAGAGGGAAGGAGAGAGAGGTGTTCATTACATTTTTTTGACTACTGTACATATTGGGATGATGTACAAATATTATGACGAGACCTTCTGTTGGAGAGACTCCTGTACTTTTAATACTTATTTTTGCATAAATGTATACTAATTTAGGCTAAGACAAATTCAAAAATTTGCAAAATAAACAAACGAAAAAAATTGTAGAAAACAAAATGAGTTTGTTTTTTACTCTTTAATAATCTATAAATATTTAACAATTTGATACGATTAGGAAGAATCAACGAACTATATTACGCGACATGCGGCCACAACATGAAAGTTAATCTGCCAACGGGTTATACAATTCAAATTTCGTTTAGCACGCGTACCTGACTGGAATCGCACAATCGATGACGTCGAGTAGTGCTCATACAGCTCGTTGACTGCTAAATATTAGTGTTAATTAAACCGATTTGTATGCCGACGCTCATTAAATAGATTCCAGTGAACAAAAATAAAATAAATAAAATTACTTGATATCTTTGTTGGGTTCATTGATGCGTACGCGCGCTTCATCAATATCAATATGATTGCGACGTTTCCTAGCGATATATTTTTCACTGGGAGTCGGTCAAGTCACGATTCGGCTATACACCCGACATTATATACGCATAGATCAGTCGGCCTTAAAAAGTTCGAGCATCCGGCATATAAAAACTGGCTGAACACAACAAATTTTTGGATTATTTAAATAGACGTTCAATTGGTCGGTCGATCGGCGACTAATCAAGGCTCTCTAAGTGGAACGGAATACCTGAATATGTTGACGTGGCAATTGTGGGGTGCATTGTTGCTCGTGTTGTGGCTCTACTTCTTGTGGTCGCGTCGCAGATTCTATCTGCTCACACTCAAGATACCGGGCCCCCTCGGCTACCCCATCGTGGGCATGGCACACAAGCTGATTCGCAGAGAAAGTGCGTGTTTCAATTATGCGTGTTGAAAATTTTGAATGATATATGTGAATTTCCTAGATGTGCTGAATGCCATTGGCTTCTATTTGGATAAGCACGGACCGACAATATTTTCATGGCTGGGTCCTATACCATTTCTGATTGTGGCCGATCCACAAACGATACAGGATATATTTACATCGCCGCACTGCGTCAACAAAGGCATCATCTATAAGGCGGTCGACGATGGAGCTGGCGTGGGACTTTTTAGTTTGACAGGTTAGCAAAATGTGCTATGGATATAAAAGAAAATATACGTTGACCACATCACAGATCCTCGTTGGAGTGTGCATCGCAAGATGTTGAATCCCACATTTGGACATAAAGTGCTGCTCAGTTTTCTGCCCATTTTCAACTACGAGACTGGAACTCTCCTTAAGCAACTGGACACATTGGTTGATGATGGCGAGAAGGATCTGATACCTCTGCTGCAAGCCTTTACGATCGGCATTGCTACGCGTAAGTTGCATATTGCTTTCGAGAATTATTAAGCTGATCAGCTTCTTGTCCAAGCACAGAAACAACAATGGGTAGCGATGTAAAAGCCATTTCGGATATTAATAACAATCAGTTGCTGGAGGATTATCAATGGTAAGTCATATCTGCCATTTGAATGGATGTGTTTACCTATCCATTAATAGTGTTTTGGAAACCATGACAGATATGTGCTTTTCGCCATGGCTTAGCTCTCGAACAATGCGCCAGCTATTTGGCAAGGAAAAGCGTTATGCGAGCTCCAAGTCTAGAATAAGAGGATTTATACGAAAGGTACAGCCCGCAGACTTATCACAAGTAACAACAGATTATTAATTTAAGTTCATTTTTCAGCTGATTGAAAGAAAATTGGCAAGGGATGCAGAGGTCGGCGATACCGCTAATCAGTTGCCTTCAGATAAAAATATATTTCTGAATCTAGCTACGGATCTCTTGAAACGCGGCGTATTCACCTGGAAGAATGTGGAGGACGAATCGAGTGTAATTGTGTTTGGGGCCTTTGAAACAACAGCTAACACTGTTGCCTACACATTAATGCTGCTCGCAATGTTTCCCATGTACCAAGAGAAGGCATTTGAAGAGATTCAAACCTTGTTTCCCGACTCTGGGGACTTTGATGTTACTTATGAAGATACACAGCAAATGGTCTATCTGGATCTCATTTTAAATGAGTCAATGAGAGTGATGCCGCCTGTGCCGATTGTATCGCGGCAAACGTCGGAGGATCTGTTGCTTTCGAATGGAGTTGTTGTTCCGAAGGGCGTTCAAATTGCAATTGATATTTTCTACTTGCATCGCAGCAAGAAAATTTGGGGCGAGGATGCGGAAACATTTAATCCAGACCACTTTTTACCCCATAATTTGCAAAATAAACATCCCTACGCGTACATACCTTTCACAAAAGGCATACGGAATTGCATAGGTAAAAATAAACTCATCCAATATCACATGCAACTATTAAATAATATTTTGTACATTATTAGGTTGGAGATATGCGTTAATCTCAGCAAAAATTACTCTGGCTAAATTGTTAAGAAACTTCAAGTTCTCAACTAGCTTTAATTTCGAAGATCTTTATTTCGTTGAAGATATAACTATAAAACTTAAGACAGTGCCACAACTGAAAATAGAACGGAGGACTTAATAGTTAAATTCACGATGTGAAATAAAAATAAAAAGCTATGTTAAGAAGTCATTATAAATTGGAAAAGATTTTGTTAATTAAAATGTTTTTTATTATTTGTTATTTCGGCTAATAAATATATGGTGCTTTTATTTAAATTTTAAATTATGCACCTGCTTCTTAGATTATTCACAAATGAAAGTAACGTGCGTACATGTTTTGAATATTACCGCACATATCGATAGTTTTCAGTGTTGAATAACGCAGCACTTGTCCAAAACGAGTACTTTTGAGCAGCTATCGTGCGTGCATATCGGTATTTGTTGTCAGATTGCCGGCTGCAGCATAATAGTGCCAATATTTTTTTAATTGTGCCGCAATGACGCTGACAGATGTCTTGGAACTTAATAAAACAGAATTGTTTACGAAAATACGCACTGTCCTGCCGATAGTGACGCAAACACAGAATTTGTTGGACTGCAAGGATGATCTGTTGTACGCATGGAACTCGGTCGATTCCTGCCTGTTGGTCACAAATTGGCGCGTCGCATTGCTTCAGGCAGAACCAAAACGTGCGAAAATCAGCTACCAAACGTTAATTCCATCAAATGCGGTTGGCCTGCAGGTGGATCGTATTGTGGTTTCTAATGAGGGCTCGCTTGTCGCTCTGTGTGGTCCACGAAATGTGACAATATTAGAAGTACCACGACGCAGTGGGCCCGATGGATACTTAATGGATGGCAAGGAACAAATCACGTGCCGTTCATACAATCTGGATGTGCTCCTCTTCCAAAATAATCCACAACTGGAAGTGTGCCAGGTGCGTTGGCATCCCGATTCTGTCTCCGACTCCACGCTTCTGGTGCTGCTCTCCAACAACACAATGCGCGTCTACAATCACGCCAAGCTGCGTCATGTGTGGAAGGTGGGTCCATACACAGTCAACAAAGGCGCCAATACATCACTTTCCGACTTCGGTGAGACTTCCATTGATTTTGACATTGCGCCAGCAGTTAAGAGCAGCGCCCCAGCTAGCGACGAAACAACCAAGAACTCTACTCTCAATAGTACCAAAACCCCCAAAGAGAAGGTGGAATGGCCGATCGTTATATTGCGCGAGAATGGAAATGTTTATGTTTTACTCACTGGTATCGATTCGGACGTGACTCGTCTGCAGGGTCCCATTACCATCACACCGCAGACAAGCTCCAACTACGGCATTGAGTCGTGTGCTCTGCTAATCATACCATCGTTGCCGCCCACTGTGATCATTGCGGAGTCAACGGGCAGACTGCATCACGCTCTTCTGCTGGAAGCTGAGACTACAGAGCGTTCGTTTAACGATGCGGATGACGGCCTGCTTATCGAGCCATCTCAGTGGACTCTCCACGTAACGGAAACCGTTGAGCTTGAATTGGGCCTCTCGGCGTCAGCTACCAATGGTACGGGCAACGGCTATAGCTGTCCCATACATCTGAAGCGAGATGTGGTCAACGAGATGCGATACTTTGCCTACCACAACGCTGGATTGCATATTGTTACTGTTAAATTCATTTCCGAGTTGCAGCGCTTCTTGGATAGCGAGGTCGAGGACAATCAGCTCGTGCTGTCGACACCTTCCTGTGCTGAATACATATTGTGCACTAAGTTCGATTTTAGTGATCGCATCAATCCTGTCATTGGCATCGCCTTGATGCAAATGCCATCCGGGCTAGTGCTGTTGCTGGGAAGCGGTCAAGTCATTAGCCTCAAGCTGGTCATTGATGCCCAACTGCTGATGACGTCTAAAAAGGAAGTGCAGCTGACTGCCACGAATGCTGCGCTGGGCGAGCAGGGTGCGGATCCCTCATTCGCGGACAAAATCAAATCAATGCTACAGCGTACCGTAAATCAACCAATTCTGGCTGACAAAATGGCCTCGTCCTCCGCACACGAACGTTACGAGCTGCTCAACCAGGCCGTAGAGGTGCTGCGTACCCAATACCTCAAGCGCCATGAGCTGGTGCGCGCGGAGTTTGCCAAGCACATCAAGTGCATTAAGCTGCAGAAGCAACAGCAACTGCAGGAGATCCAGAGTCTGGAGAATGAACGAGAGATCATAAGCGAACGGGCGCACAAGCTAGCGGAACGCTTCGAAGAGATTAGCGATAACCAGGAGCTGCTCGTGCGCCGTTGCCAGAAGCTAATGCAGCTAGCCAACTCCGTGCTGCCCAACAGCATTGTGGCCGAGCGAGAGTTTGCCCAGGAGGTGGGACGCATCGACAAGGCTACCAAAGCCATCGCCGCAGCATTGGACACGGCCAAGAAGACGTACAACAAGCAACGCTATCACATCGCAAAGTCGCAGGGGACAAACGCGAGCAATGCCTACCAGTTGCCAGAGAGACAGCAGCGCACCATCACCGAGATTCTGACTCAGCTTTCGAGTGAGATTGATCGTCAGATATCAGATGTGAAGCGAATAAATAAGATTGTCGGCCTATGAGCAGCCTTATCAACGAATAAGTTAATTTTGTATTTGTGCTATTGTTAACAATTAAAGCAACCTATATAGTATATATATGTATGTGTAAACAAATTCTTATTCTTTGACATATGACAGTATCTGAGCGCCTCTTAACGTCGGACCCCAGGATAAGTTTATTATATAACTTCTTGAACCCTATTATCCAAAATGTGATTTATTTGTTTTTACACCTTCTTCTATTTGTTGGTCTGTCTCGGTTGGCTTCTCTTTAGTTTCAGACATTTACTTTTACATAATGTACATATAAAAAGTTTTAGTGTAATCGTATATATGTTGAACCTCGATCCAAAACGGAATGCGAAATTTGCATGGCTAATGACTCGAATATATTTATATAGCTATGTAGGAGAATTAACATTTGTATTTGCGTTTCAGTCTAAGTTTCAGTTGCAAGCGAACTTTTTGGAGTCGACATCGAGCTCAGGTGCTGTCCCCAGCAATGGCATCTATATTTCTCAGATTGGCAACAATCTGCACGCAGATGTCCAACTATATCAAAACGAATTCGCCCTTTGTGATTGAGGCGCTGATGGTAACGATCTGCTTTAGTGCCATAATAAGCAGATATATAATAATTACCTAGATGAACGGCACATACTATACATATGCACATACATATATGTATGTATAAATCAATTGAATCGACGCATGTAACAACAATAAAACGATCGTATCTGAATCTTCCTCTAAATAGAACTAATATTGTATTTGTGTTTGTGTGTGTGTGTGTGCACGTGGCATCGTGATTGAAGATTGAACTTAAACTGTAGGCTTCTCGATCACATGTATATAGAATGCTGGATTCTGCACAACGCTCATGTCCTTGAAGTCGCCGTACAGCTTGTGCTTGGCCTGGCTGCCAAAGATTTCGCTAAGGATCTCCGTGAATCGCTTCAGCTCATGTGGATAGTACGAGAGCCGGAATTCGCTGGACAGCTTGTTGCCCTCGATCTGGTAGTCCATGGAGACCAGAGCGGGTTTCCCGCAATAGAACAGAACGGATGTTTTGATGTCAGCCGTATGGCTTGTCTACAAAAAAAAAAAAAAAAAAAAAAAAAAAAAAAAAAACAAAATTAAACGTAATTCACAAGTGCAAGTCACTCGAAAGGGCGATTAAAACGCGGATGATAATGATGATGATGATGATGACGATGATGATATTTTTACAAAATAGTTTTTGTCTATTTAAAGTTATCAGTGAAACCGCGAATGACTGGGCATATTGAGCACCCCAAGTGAATGAGATGTGTCGTTTAATTGTTTTTAATTGGCATCGATTGCTCGCATGCAAAGTGTTTTACTTACGTTGTAGTAAATGCTCTTGGCGGGCGTGGCGCCTGTCTCCAGGATGTTGTCATAGTTGCGATGATCGATCAGCAGGATTCCACCTGGCTTCAGGCACTTCTCAAAATTCTTGATCGCCTGCTTGTGCTCGCGCTGATCCCCGAAACTGTCCATCAAATGGGCGAACGAGTTGCCCAAACAAATGACCGCATCGAAGCCGCCGCCCAGATGCTCCTGGATATCGTCGTACAGTGTCAGCCAGTTGGCCTCCTCAATAACTGTCAGATTGATAAGATTGGGTCAGGATCTGACTCTATATATCTATGACTACTATCTCAATACTCACCCCATTTGTCGAAGGCGGCCTCGTTGCGGCGGTTCCAGCGCTCCTTGAGCGCGTATTTCAGCATCTTGTCCGAAGCATCAACGGACATCACCTCGAAGCCCTCTTCCAGCAGCATTATGGAGTCCACTCTGCAGTTAATTAACACATGTATTTTCACATCTAAATTCACTTGGCTGTGCCTCTGGCTTACCCAGTGCCGCAGGCGACATCGAGAATGCGCTTGCAGCCCTTCTGGCGCAGCAGATCCACCAAGAAGTTCTTGTAGTTGTCGGTGCGCGAGTTCTTATCGCCAATGAAGATCTCCCAGACTTTGGCTGCCTTGCCATCGGCATACTGATCGCGCACTCCTTCGGCGGAGATACCTTCCGATCGGGTTACGAACACACTGTCAGCGGAGGTAGTCATTTCAAGTGTTTAGCACTGGGCAGCAGATCAAACTGAATTAAGTTTTCGTGGCGAATCCACTCGCCATGACATCTCCGGCGGGTGTTTTCAATCACAAACAGCTGGCAAGCCACACACCGACACACGCACACAGCCACACATTCCCGTAATCTTATCAAGGCACTTCTAGATTGACCCGTGCTAGCAACGGTTCCACCAACATCAACATCTGCTCCAACCGTACACGTTCCGCTTTTTTTCCTTTTTTTTGGATTTTTGTCTTTTTTTTTGGCGACCTGACACTGACCTTGTTGTGATTAGTGATAGATTACAGTGCCTAAAATTAATAGAAAATATTATTATTATTATTTGGCAAAAATACGTCATGCCACTTACATACAGCTAACAAAGCAAAGGCGCCCTATCATGTGATACTACACTTTAATCTCGATTAGACAGACAACTGTATAGATGAATGAAAAAAGGCTTAAAATGTTTAATTATATGCTAAAAGATAATTATTATTATTATTGATAGCTAAAAAATATTTGCGGAAAAATATTCAACTCATTTTTTTGGGGCTTCTTGTATAGGCTGTAAACGATATGTCTGTGTATCTATGAATATATGTATTTCTTTTTGGCTCTACCAAATTAAGACTTCGAGACTATATAGCTACGGCCTTAGATAGGATCCACTTGACAATTGAAAAAGGTTTCGGGTTTCTGATTTTCTAGCATAGTACGACTGACTCGCTCTTACTTGGTTTTTCGAATGAAAAAACTGCTCGGAATAGTATTAATTTAAAATATAGATAGAATAACAAGAAACCTCACTCAAATCTCAAATCAATGCCTTGAATAGTCTCATCAATACATTCAAAATATTTCTTACTTCAAATTTCGTTTCGTTTCCCTTTAATGAGTGTCTATTGTATGAGACAAGCTATCCCGTTGAATTAAATAAAAGCTTTGCAAATCTGCATATAAGTTCGTTTTTATTTCAATTAGCTTAATAAATATTGCACTGCATTGAAAACTAGGATTATGTAAAGTATATAGTATATATGTAGGTATATAATTTAAGATGGTATTCATATTGCACCACGTTGCTCAGTTGAAATTGCAAGTCTTAGGGAGTTCGTCGATATATTAATAAATAGTATACAATTTGAATAATAATAATAATCATAATGTTAGTAAATGATTACGTTTCGCAAGATAATTAATTATATGTAGCTCGCGTGGCTTTAATTATCTTGGGAAACATAAGCTGTCATTAAAGTTAAACCGAGATGCTTATTAGCTATGCATACATTTGTGTGTGTGTGTGAGTATGTGTGCTTAGTGGCTAGCTAAGGGATTTGAGTATTCTATTCAAATTCTATGGCAAATACCCCAGCGAGTCCTCGAGCGAGGCGCTCACTGCCCGCATGGATTGGTAGCTGGCCATGCGGCTCCTGCTCACATTGCTGCGTATCGAGGCGGCCTTCTCCAGCGCCTTGATGTTGATCAGCAGATCGTCGGCGCTGCACGTCTTCTGTGCGGAGCTCATGTGCAGCGGGGGCGCTAGGGGCATAATCATGGCACCGCCATTGCCCAGACGATCCGTGCTGAAGGATTCGCGCGCTCGGTACAGGGAACGGCGTGCGGAGACACTCGAATGACAGCTGCCATTGCTGGCGCGCCCATTTAGCTTCTGGCTGTTTATCATCGGCGGGCAGAGACTCTTGATGTCCGTCGTCTGGCTGAGTTTCATGTCTGCAAACACGGCCGCAGCCTCCACGCTCTTCTTCACGCTGAGCGCCTCATGCGGCTGCACGGGCTTGCTGTTGCCGCCGATCGTAAAGAGCTCATAGTCCAGGCCCAGCTTCTCCGACGACTTGCTCTTCCGTGGGGAGGCACGCGACTTGTGCTGCGGATTGAGTGAATCCTCGCTGATATTGGCCGCTGCCGCATTGGCGCGGTGCCGGCGATGGCTGCGCTTGCAGTAGCACTTGCTGGCACTGATGCAGCTGTCCGTGTCGCACCAGGTGGTCGTGTCCGAGTGCGTGTTGCCCGAGTCGTGCTCGAGCGTGCTGTTGGGCTCCTCCTCCACCATGGAGCAGTAGCACTTGTCCTCCGACTTGCACGATATCAGCGAATGGCGATTGGCAGCTGCTCCAGCATTGCTAGCCGTGGACTTGCGGCCATTGGCCATGGCCATGTTGCGTTCGTTCTTCTGGCGCAGCTTGTGGTTCAGATGCTCCGTGCGCAGACTGCAATAGCAGCGATCAGCCGAGGTGCAAGTGCACGATTCCGAATCGTAGCTGCACTCCGAGCAGGAGACGTAGCTATATATGGAAAGATACAGAGAAAGAGAGAGAGAGAGATAGACTTATTAGCAGGCATTCGACAGGCATTGTGGTAGACGTTTACTCACCCACTGCTGCTGTTTCGATTGAGTCCCTGAAGCGCGTTCTCGTTGCGCACGACGGACACATCGGAGCCGCTGGTGGTCGCGCGATTGCGTTGATGCTGCTGCGAGTGGCTCTGGCTGGTGGGTGGGCCAATGACGATGGGTGGTGTCAGGCGGCGCTTGTTGGAGTCCGCACTGACGGAGTGTGACTCCTTGGTGCGTGCCGGCTTGGCCAGCTTGCCGCGACAGGCGCGAAACTGTCCCAGCTGAAACACCTTCTTCAGGCTCTTGGTGCCAAAGAAGATGCTCTTGGATTTCTTCTGGAATCAACTTGGGTTTAGTTCCTCATCTGAGAGTGGTGCGCAGCATCTTACCTGTGAGCCACTGATGCTGGCTTTGCGCTTCTGCTTCTTCTTCTTCTGGCGCCGCATTATGTTCTTGGAGCGCTGAAAGAGCTCGTCCTGCGTGAGCGTCACGGCCAGCTTGAGCAGAAACTCCTTGTAGATGGGCTTCAGGTCGTTGAAGGACATGCCATCTGCATCGATAATGGCATAGAGTATCTCGTCCAACGAGTGCAAGTTCTCGTGCAGCCGAAATTCATTGAACAGTTCACTGAAACCAAGTGGGGAACTAGAAGCACAATTCAAACGATGCCAATCAACCAAACCAAACCTTTTCACCGAGGATGCAAACAATGTTAGGCCAAACCGCAGGCCAGCGTCAGCTTGGATGACTTGAATAACTAACGAAATACCTGAGCTGTCGCTGGCCCCGTTGGTTAGTATTAATACTCACCCTCCTCCACCGCCGCCCAATTTGCCGGAGTTGGTGCGGCGCGCCGCTCTCGACTTGTACCTGGTCAGTCCGCCGGTGTTCAGGAAGCTGCCCGATCTGGGTATGGCCACACGGGTTAGTATATCGCCATCGCCGGCCGCAGCCACAGCGCCCGCGGCGACCAGGTCGCTGATCTTGCGACCGTTCGCGCTGCCGTTGGGTGTCGGCGTAGAGGGCTTCTTCAGGTGTCCATGGCCATGGCCATGGCCCAGACGATTGACATGCCCATTGGTGCACACAATGCTGTTGCTGCGCCCCGAGCCGCTCTTGAAGCCGCCCACATTGGGCGCTGGCACGGGCGGCGCCCGTTTCGTCTTGTGCGACTTCCGCTTGCGCTCCTCCGTCGAGGTCTCGACCTCGGCCGCCTCGTTGATCACGTTGCTATTCGAGCTGAGCGAGCTGCTCGAGACCCGCTTCTTGCGTGTTGACCGCGAGGGCGTCGACCC